CTTTGATAGGAGATATTATTAAGTGTTGCTTTTGATAAAACAAGCTCTTTTTCATCATTAAAAATTTTTTTTAAATTGATTTTATTGCATATGAATGATTGAACCCTTCTCTGTGGACACACTGTTTTAGATGTAGTGAGAGGACATTAAGAAACAGATTTGGTATAATAATGAGAAAATTAAATTGAAGGTGATAATTGTGTTAATAAATTGTGTTAAATACATTCTATTATTAATCCCTCATGACATTTAAAATTGAAAATATTTTTATTTTTAAACCTAATAGCAGTTACCCTTGCTGGACCTGTTTTGTCCCACGTCTCAAGAATGACTGAGTTGTTGGTATCTATTCCAATTTTACACCTATTCTAGTTAGACATTCAGAAACTAGTAGGCTACTGTTTATAGTACCAGTTACTATAAACTATTCTAGTAGTACTTAGTACTACATATTGCACTAGTTATTTAATATTTATTACTAGTGTGCATTCTACTTATAATGACATATCTGTCTATCTATCTATCTATCTATCTATCTGTCTATTCAGAGGTTTCAATATTAAATCTAACATTTCTCATTAAAAACAGACCACACTGAAAATATGGCATTCAATTTCTAATTGTAAATTAGAGACCAAATGATTGTTATTCAAGCTATGATGTTCACATTCACACACTCTAGACTCATTCTGTGTGCATGTCTTTTTTATATCTATTTTCTTTTCTTTTAGGAGACACATCTGCTATATATAACTTATATAAGTAAATGGAACTAATTTATAATTATATATATGTGTATACAGTATATTTCTATTTTAAATAAATACATACAAATAAATTAAAATTTATTAAATTATTATTAAATTATTTTTTTTACCCAGCCTGGAGTTATTGCAGGACAATGCAACATTTATGCTTTTAGCCCAGTGTTGTTTCAGATATAGATAAAAATTGGGGAAAAAAAGAGTAGCTATAATAAACATTCTATCACAGTTTTAAAAAGATATGCCGCCTTTGCATCATTTTATAGCAGAATAAGTATCAGTTAGATGCTCTGCAAGTCTAAACCGCAGACTTCCATCTGGTTAATTGTTTGGGGCCGTTCTGGAACAGCTCTGATATGGTCTGTCTGTTTCCTAACAGGTGTTCACTTAGACATGCTGTATTTTGCTGATCAGTAGACTCATCTAAACTGGGATAATAATATTAAGGATGTTTCGTGCCAACATGCCCCACAACAGCTGGAACCAAAGAAACTGGAGATTTCAAAGACATTTTACTACATTTTAGTCCATGCATTTTGCAAAATAATAATGTATTAGCAGAGGATGTCTTTGGAACAGAAAAATCCAGCTTGCGTTCCTGTCAAGTGCAGCATGGCACTAAACAGCCAGTCTGCAGGGAGCAGTTAACAATAGTTAGTACATCCTATTTCTTTAGAAACGGCAGCACGAATGAAGCCCACAGCACAAATGAATATGTTGAGTCAGAAGCATCTGCTGGAGCTGGAGGTTTTCTGTTTTAATAGCTGAAAGGTGCTGCAGAGGTGTAATTTAGCATTAATTAAGTAATCCATTGTTGTGACAAGGTTTCGAGGAATTAAATAGAACAAATAATTTTGTCGTTCTTTTCTAATGGCGTATTACAGCTTGATGATGATTACCCTGTAAGGATGTAGCAGCATATGGCTGATTTAGTTTCTTCATTTTCCTAACATTTCCATAAGACGGCATCATATAAAACACAATGTTCTTGCTCACAAAATTTTAGGCACTTCTAAAGGACCGCAAGTGCTTTGCAATACTGTTAAAGTCATCATGAAATGCAGTTTCTAACCCATTTTTTTAATTTGGAATAATGTGCACCGTTAAGTCTTGCTTGTTCTTGCTAACTTTTTTTTTTATTAAAAAAATTTTAGCAGATTTTTTTTTTTGCAAAATAAATAGTCTATATGAAATAACAGCAAACACAGATGGCTGAAAAGCATTACAATTAATCCTACGGTATCATATTTGATATGCAAATTTCTAAGCCCTCTGAATTATCAACATGATCAGAACTTTGCTGGAAAAACCTGTTGAGCATTCTGCCGTAGTTTAACTTTTTTCGTACTTTTTTAAAACAAGTACAAGACCTTTTAGTATCATTGTAAAAATGTCCCACTTCAGGTCATCGCTAATGTGTCTTTTTGTTGTGAAATCTTGACTGATTTCTATGATGTAAACATAAAAATAACTTTTATATTGTTAGTAATATTTCAAGATTCAAGAACTTTACTTGAATATCCATACATCATTTTCAGAAAAATCCATCATTGTTTTGCATTGCAGTATATGTTTTGAAACTATAGAGCTTTGATCATAAAAGTAAGCATTTGCATATCATCATACTATGACATATTATTGGGAGATATAGAGTGACAACTGATATTGATATGCGTTTTATGTAAGTAGTCTGTTACAAATCTTAACGACTTACATTTTTAAGCTATCAGAATTTCATCTTACTTTTTGGTCATATACTGTAAATATCAGCAACTGCACCAAACTGCAAATGTTTGCTCAGTTTGGGTCTCTGCATAAAACTGAGCTGTTTTCCCTCCTCAAGTGAGCTCAGTATTCTCATTATATCATACAATGTGAGCCATACAATGTGTATTGATTATGATACTCAACAAACACACTTTATATTTTGTCTAAAGGTTCAGTAAACTGGTCTATTCCAAGTTATTACATTTCATATGTCAGGCTTTAGGGGTTATGATTGCTTATCCAGGTTATACAGAGATTTCAAACTCTAGGTTTGCATGAATAATTAGTTACCCGTCATTTTGGTGTTGAGGTCCTGTCGTGTATTAGCTTCTTCAGAGACCTGTACATCAGTAGATGCTCCTGTTGTCAGAAGGAGAATGGTGACTTGCAGCCTTATTTGAAAACCAGTCACATCGTCATACTGCCTGTTGCTAAGCACTGCATTAGCCCATTATGTCCAATAATACTGGCACTTCTGGATCTCTGTCTGACAGGCACAGGTTTTGCAGTGCAGGTTTCATCGCAGACACCTAGTAATTCCACAAGAGACATCAAACAAATAACCCAAAATGATGTGGAACCAGATTTGCGGTGCTCATGTTCCATCTTAATAGGCAGACGGTGTTATGATTCATACGAGGTGTACTGAAAACAACAGCTTTTATAAAAGATGTCAGAATCAGCATCATAACCAAAGCACCTAATCATGGCTATTAGGAAACTGCTGGCAATTAAAGATATATTTGTTTTAGTGCTGTCAAATGATTAATCGCGATTAATCACATCCAAAATAAAAGTTTTTGTTTACATAATATGTGTGTGTACTGTGTATATTTATTATGTATATATAAATACACACACATACAGCATATATTTTGAAAATATTTACATGTATATATTTATATTCATATGATAATATATAAACGTAACATATTTTTCTTAAATATATACATCCATGTGTTTGTGAAACCTGGGCTTCCATACCACCTCAGTAGTGCCACAAACTGATCACCTCCATGCCACGCCGAATTGAGGCAGTGATTAAAGCAAAAGGAGCCCCTACCAAGTATTGAGTACATGTACAGTAAATGAACATACTTTCCAGAAGGCCAGCAATTCACTAAAAATGTTTTGTCTTATGTCTTATGAAGTATTCTAATTTGTTGAGATAGTGTTGAGATAGTGAATTGGTGGGTTTTTGTTAAATGTGAGCCAAAATCATCACAATTAAAAGAACCAAAGACTTAAACTACTTCAGTCTGTGTGCATTGAATTTATTTAATACACGAGTTTCACAATTTGAGTTGAATTACTGAAATAAATGAACTTTTCCACGACATTCTAATTTATTGAGATGCACCTGTATACATAATAAATATACACAGTACACACACATATATTATGTTAACAAAAACTTTTACTTTGGATGCGATTAATCGCGATTAATCATTTGACAGCTCTAATTTGTTTTATAATATTTACACTATTGTTTTTTTAACAGTTCTGACTGAATTCTGATTGGATGAGATGTGGTTGTAAAATACCCATAAACGCCATTTTACATTAATATGACAAGCATTGCTTGACATGCATAAATGAATTGGACTTATCAACTACGTTATGTGGCAGAACATTATTTGTTAGCATTTGAATAGTATTGTTACTGTTACTTTGTGTCTTATATCATACTGCTATTCCACTGGAAGTGCTAGTAGGCCTATATATATATATATATATTGATATCTGACTGATTCGTCATTGCAAAACCGTGTCAGTGTGGACAAATTACAGCCTTGTGGCTTTTTTACTTTAAGAGGTTATTGGCATAAATCTTGGCTTATTTTTATTCAAGGGGAAATGGTTCTGTTTTGATAGTTCACTATCACAGGAGTTTTCAAACTGACGTCAGGGGAAAAGGTTTACAGGAAAACAGTGTAAAAAAATGTATATATAATTAAACTAAATATATTAATTTGATTTAAATTAGTCAGTCAATCAATCAGTTAAACATGTAGGCTACTGTACAACAGTATAGTGAGGAGAAAAAAAATTTAATGTAACATTATAGAAACTAAATATTTTTACGTATATTTATTAATGTTTCACAGTATAAATTGCGTCTTTAGGCTATACATGAAAATACATACCTGGATGCACAGGGATAATCATATTTGGGGGTCTGTGGAATCTAAACGATTGAAAACCTTGTCCTTTCTTACCTCTAGCAGACAATTATTAATTGACAGTGTTTTAACCTTTGATAAAGGCAGGTTACGTCAAATGTACATTAATAACAGTCGATGGAGAGGGAGAGAAAAGCGCATCATGGTTCCGTCCTTTTGGCCAATCATGTGCACGAGTTAGAGCACGTGTGCAATCATGCACAGACCAGTGATTTCAGACTCACTGCATGTTTTTAAAAGGCTTATATGTTAACCACACATTATTTCATGAATTTATAAAGAAACACGACTATTTCCGCAATCAATTATTCGAGGAAAACACGCGCGTTTCCGTAAAACGTTTTGTAGGCAGCTTGGATAAAACCTATTGTGACGTTTTATCATAGTAAAAACGCGTTTCAGATACAGCATTGGTGATGCTGATAGCCTATTAATTTCGGATCGCTTGTACATTGGAGAACGGTGCGCTCGAGATGAGGGATGCGAATTAGCTAATCCTACTATGGCCACGGCTTGGTTTATGAATATTAAGTACGTAACTCCACGTTCGCTCAGTAAACCTAAACGATTGGCTGAAAGGCAGACGTTCGTAAAGAGTGCAGGTCAGCTGGCGAATGAAGGAATCGTACTTGTCTCATGAATATTAATGACGCAGCGTGACGTTCGCCCCACTGTTTGGCTGAAGAGCAGAAGTTTGTGATTCGGTTGGCCTATCAACGAATTCTAGTACGGAGAAGGCTTGGCTAGGAATACTAGCTAGATAGGTTACGTAACTGGACGCTCGAGGAAGGTTACCATGCAACGTCAGCGTGCCGATTAATATTAATGAGTCAAGTGTTCGCCATAGTAGGAATCGTTAATTTAGCCTGTGTAGTAGGGTTGCACCCCGTTACACGTCACACGCGCCTTCGTTACAGGGTGAAGATACAGGCAATGTCACACAGCCCTCCTCATCATCACGACTACAAATTCACCGTATCTTATATACAAAGCATTTGGGAAAAATAATAACCGAATCGCTCTGGTAAGTGACGCTTCTTGCTAATTAATTAATGTTTTGGAGCTCATTTATAATTAGCGTGCATATACATAAATATGATTTAAGACGCTCGTACACGTTTTAAATATACCACATTTATGTTTGAGCGAGTGGTTTAATGTTAAATGCAAAATTTTATGATTTTATATTTTGAGGCATCAGATTCATTCATTTGGAAAATAATGTGTGCTCATCAATGATGGATGCAAACGTAAAAAATCATCAAAAACACATCTTTATAGTTATAACACCCAACGTAAATTATATAAAATCTCTTTTTAAGGCAACCTTTTGTCATTTAACACGGCTCATGCACCATCTCAAGACATTAAAATTCTTTTTTTTCGGCGAGCAGATTATTATTTTTTCGTTGAAATGCGCTTTTGTAGCCTATTATTACTTATTTCCAGTATGTATATTAATCTTTATTTGCCATGGGTTAAAGAATAGATCAAAAGAGTAATTGATAAAAGCCATATTCCCATAGAGACATACGGCACCTCAAGCCTCACCCCTTCACCTAATATATCCATCAGAATAAGACTTATTGGGCTTTCCATTTTCCTCACTGGCTGGTATTGGGTTTCATATTTGCTACAATTGATAAACCACGAGAAATATCAATTAAAATGAGATCTGTACCGCGTTATATCTTGAAGCATCAAAATGACCTTGCAGCAGACATGAAGAATGGAAAGCTGCTACATGTGTGCGTGTGTGAATCTCCTCGATGATTTAGTCCATTGCTGATTGCATTCAGTCTCGTCACGACAGCAAGTGTCATTTGGTTTGACTGAATTCACAGTGATGCTCTATGTGCATCTACACGTGTCTGTATCACTGCTGCTTTTTCAGTGAAATAACGTCTTTGAGCTGGAAATGACCAACCATTACTGTTGAGTGCATGCAGATAGTGATAATTGTGCTCTTTGTCAATTCTTATATAAGAGTAGATTATGTAGAGCTAGATATTTGGCAGTTTTGATGGAATATGCAAAGCTGTATGTTGTTAGTATAGCCTACTGTTAGTATGCAGAGATTTCTGATGGTTGACAGTAGCCTGTATGTAGACCTTAATGTTGGTAGTATTGCTATATCTATGCATATCTTTCTTTGTATTTTAGGATTGATATTAAAGTTTTGTATCTGATTGTATTGTAAGTATGTAGAGATTCATGCTAGTATGTAAAGCTGTATATTTGATCGTAGTATGCAGCTTTATGTTGGTAGAGTTGTCTGACAGCAAATGTCTGAAAGTTTGATCAGGTCATTGGTAGGATGAGCTACTGTGTTTACATACTTCTGGATCCCAACTTTGATCCGATCTGGTTGAAAGTGTCCAAACCCTGTCTAGGACTGTTTCTCCTGATGTGAATTGATTTGCAGGCTGCTTCTGGTGTCTCCGTCAGTGGTGGTGCTGCACAGGATTGCAGTTGTTCCTCAATCATTGTGTGCTCTGTGCGCTGCAGTGCTCTTTTCAGAGTAACCTTGCGAGGAATCCTCAAGAGGAGTGATGTGGCAAAGGAGGAAGAGAGAGAACAGGGTTTAACGGCAGGAGTGTTTATCATTGATCTGTGCAGGTGCTGATGTCTTATCTGACCGGGCCGTCGTTCAGAACTCACTCATTCAGGGATCTGGAATAGGATTATCACTTGAGTTTGGCGCAATACATTTCCATGTCCATGCCACATTTGGATGCATTTTTTTTTTATATAAACTCAAATTTTTAGTACAATATTGCAATTTAGCAATTCAAGGAATAGTTTCCCCCCAAATTAGAATTTACTGGAAATGTCCTCACCCTCAGACCATCCAAGATGTAGATGAGTTTGTTTCTTCATCAGAACAGATTTGGAGAAATTTAGCATCGCAGTGAATGTGTGCCGTCAGAATGAGAGTCCAAACAGTTGATAAAAACATCACAATAATCCACACCACTCCAGTCCACCAATTAACATCTTGTGCAGTAAAATGCTGCATGTTTAGGAAACAAATCCATTATTAAGGGGTGTTAATTTTAAACTCTCACTTCTGGCCATAATTCATAATAATGCTTCTTCCAATAATAAAGTCCATCCACTGTTGTCCTCTCACTTCAAAATCCACCGGCATACTTGTTTATAACTGTTTTGGCTTGTAAACAGTGCTCGATCTGTGCATATTTATCTCCTGATTCAGACAAGACAAATTTTTCACTAAGCAATATTATGAATAATGGACTCATATTTAAGCTGGAAGCAACGCTTTGAAAAAAAAATGTCATTTTAGGTTTGGTAAATGTCTCCAAATCATTTTTAATGAAGAAACAAACTCATCTACGTCTTGTATGGCCTGAGGCGGAGTCAATTTTCAGCATAGTTTAATTTTTGGGTGAACATTTTTAGTTTGATGCAATATTTCCATGTCTTCAGGTGCTGCACTGACTGACTGAATTTATAAAAAAATATTCCAGGTGTTTTTTTTTTGTTTTTTTTTCCTTTTTCTCTTTCTCTAATTAAAATATTTAAAATAAAATGTTTTCTTGGGATTATTTCTTGCTATAATTGGTGATTAGTTTATAGTTCCCCCCCCCC